TTCCTCGCTCCCCAAAAGGGTGGCTCCAACTGGCAGGCCAAGCTCTTACTGGGCCGGTTAAGAGCTCAAGCCAGCCGCCCTGCCTGCTGGGGCTGGGAAGGGGCTAAGGGATGCTCCTAAGGGATGCTCCTAAGGGATGCTCGTGCCTGCCCTGGATGGGAGCAGCAGGCACCTGCTCTCTGGCAGGCTGAATTCCTCCCCCGCAGCCCAGCGCATTAGAGGGTAAAACTAGGTTGAAACTAATCTGTGCTGGATTAGACTTGCCACCTTGATGCACACGGCTGAACAATGTGATCGCCATTCCCCAGGAAGAGGGGGACAGCCAAGAGAGGATCCCAGAGGAGCATTTTAGGCTGGAAAGAAAGAATTCAGTACTAGGACTCAGCTGTCCTTCAGCAGCACGTGTGCGCTCCGGACATTGCCTGCCAAAGACCCTTATCCCAACGAGAGCTCTGGGGTAGAAACCAGCCAGGAAAACAGGGCTGGGAGGGAGCTAAGTGTTAGGATGAGACAATGAGATTAAGCCTGATAGGAATTTGGCCTGATAGGTTTTATTAGGAGCAGTTTACTGGTTTGCAGCCCTGGGGCTCTTCAGGGCTTGGGAAACCCCCTCCCTGGCTCCAGCCACAGTATCAGCCCAGATTTACGTATCAGCTCTGTGTCAGAGGGAAGTGCGAGCTGCTTTGCTGCATGCCTGCTCACAGCAAACTCCCCCACCGCCACAGAGCTGGCAGAGCCAACAAAGCACAGCAGCCTGGGGTTTGCTGCCCAGAGCTGCTACAGCGCAACGGCTGCTCAGGATCCGTGGGCAGCCGCTACCCGTGCTCTCTGCAGCTTGATTCCGAGCTGCTCAAATCCCTTCTCCTTGCACTGAGCCAACAGACAGGGGAGCAAGGACATGAACAAGCAGCTCCCACCTCCGTCAGCGGGAAGTTATGTAGTTTGCTTCATTTTTGTCACCCAAACCTCACCCAGAGAAAAAGCCTGCCAGAAGTGATGGCTGCTAAGCGGAGAGATAGGAGCCTTTCCCCTGCATGGGAGGAAGAAGAGCCCCCAGCCCAGGGGCTGTGGCACACCAGTGTCTCAGCAAGCAAAGCTTCCCAGGCTCAGTCCTACAGCTCCTACCAGCTGAAGGATCACCTGTCCACCCTGTGCCTGAGTGATGCTGGAGAAGCATTTCTGAAGCAGCAGAAACTACAGCAATAGGTACAACATACTCCCTTCCTCCCCAGCCCGAGGGTCAGCACCACCTTGGGGACGCGTTAGACCCACCTACGCACTTCCTTGGCACACGGTGCATCGTGCCTGCCTCCCAACAGCAGGTTTCAAAGGCTCCTTTTTAGCCAAGTGCTCTTATTCTACACCTTATGCAGCACCTCTTTTTCCACTCTTATTCCACAGCACCTCCTGGTTTCTAACCATGTTAACTCCCTTTCCAGTGACCTACGTAAACATCACCTCCACCATCTCACTCCTCCCTGGAGCAACACATTGGCATTTTTCACTGCCCAGTTAATGCGATGACAAGGCAACCCCTCCATCTCCTCCAGGCTCTCATCTTGTGCAGTGCTTTGATTTCTCCACCTTTAACACCACGGGGCCACTGGCTGTATCAGCAAGTGACCACCAAAGCCACCTAGAAATGACCCTAGAAATCCCATCGTTGATTGTTTTAAGGTTAAAACCTTTTCACCCTCAG